GGGGGGGTGTCGTGTGATTACGATTTAGTGTATCGCAGGACTACGTGCGTGTCGTGATTTCAGCGGCCTGAACAATGGATAACCGAGATTTACACGAAATTCCCCCGTGAATCCCCTTGGGTGAATTTCTGGGGAAAATGGAAGACAGAATTCTGCGGGGAATTTAAAGAAAACAAGGAAAATGAATCTCGAGTTTCTTTATATTGAGATTACGTGAAAATTTTACACTTCGTTCAAAAACAAATTGAATTGACAAACCTTTGTTTGTATCTGCAGTAAGCTGATTATATTTTTCGTATTGATTTTTTAATTGGAAATGAAACACGAATTATAGTTTCATGCAATTTCAAAACTTTACTTTATTATTTTAAAACTACAAAAAAAATATACATAGATACAGTTTATGCATAGAAACAGTTTCTGTACGATCGTTGAAATTTCCAAGTTTTGATTTCATTTTAAGCACAAACTCACGAAAATTCTGATTAGTTTTCATTCCTTTTTTGGCGAAATATTTTCATTTAGAAAAAAGCAGCGACATGGAAAAGCATCTGAAGACACAGCACAAACAAAAATATACGGCATACGAGAAGGAGAAAGAGAACGAGAAATAATGAAATGCAAATCGCCGTTTTTATATTTTATCTAAAATATTGATTTGATGAAAGGCAATGCTGATAATTTATCAGAGAAATAAAAAATGTTTTCGAATGCGACAGGTAAGTTCATAATGAGACTCTGTAAAATCATTTCTTCGTTTTATCAAAGTTCCACTGTATTTGAAAACAACTATTATTAACATTTATAACACATTTCACAGATGGCTAATGTGAAAATGTTTGGACCTGGGAAAAATTCATGGGTCAGAGAAGTACAAATATGGAAGCGAGAAACCAAATTGAACGAAACCTTCTGATGATGACAGTATTGCTGTCGAAATTGTTATGACTCGGAATGAAAGATAGGTGTGTTTTCTGTTATAGTCAGTTAAGAACTAATTTATTATATAAAGTTATATATAAAAGAAAGTATATAATAATAATGATAAGATGAGAATATGATATATAAATGTATTGGTGAGTTTTATCCTTTATAAAACAG